AAACCCACACATCAGAACTAGTTTTTCCCATCGCTCATACTCCATTTAAAACTGACCCGACAGAGGAGCTAATTACATTTGGAGCCAAGTTTGGGGCCAGCACATGTTATACTGGCTGTGTTGCTGGGCTCCCACATGGCCAACTGCGGTTTTAGTCCCGGACCCGGTGACTTGAAAATCATGCTGGGTATGTGTCGGAGTAGGCTCAAGATCCCAGGAGGAGAATGGAGGAAAAGGGACTGCAGCATGAACATCCCCCAGAGGGTGATTTCTCACTTTCCCACTGTCTCTGTCTCTCTCTCTCTGATGAGTGCAAGTGCCCTATGGCAAAGACCTCTTTTTAAAAAGCCAAGTTATTGCTTCTTGAAAAAAATCAATATTTTGGCTATAGGGTAAGAGTTTCATAGTGTAACCAATTCAGAGCTATAGCTAGTTTAATAAGTTTACCACCAGTGGCCTATACAGACTGCAAAAAAGGCAAATATTTATGGAGTATGTATTTAGGTATTGTATAAGTATCTTATCGAATCTCATTAAACCTTCATGACAATTGTTTGATATTGGAATCTGCACTTTACAGGGAGAATGAAGAAACGGACTTATGCAGTTGTCCCATGGCCTCAGAGCCATGAAAGGTAGTACAATTGCATATCCACTCAATAATGTTTATCATTGTTTTATTCCATGCCTGAAAAACTAGCAGCAAGACCGTAATGTTTGCAGCCATAAAACAGAGCCAAGTTTATAGCACACTATCAGCAAAACCATTTATTTTTTCACACAATGCTACTGAATGCCCATTTTAGTATCATTAAACCCTATTTGATAGGGAAAAAAATGTTCCTGGTTAACATTACTCGTTTTCTTTTCAACAAATGTTGACAGAGTGCCCACAACACGTTAGACATGCACTAAACTCTATAATCACAGAGACGAACAGTCCTTGCTGTCAAAAGGCTCATAGTTCCGGGACAGAAATATGAAAGAAAATCCCTTTTGGAGTGTAATTCACAAGGGCTGATATTCTTAAATGTCCTGGAAATTCAGAACCTCACTTAGCAGAGACGAGAGTGGGCTTCCTAGAAGATTCGATGCTTCTTATTTGTTTTGACAACAAGTAGGGATCAGGCATGTGAATGTGGAGAGTGTTCTAGCAGAGCATACAGCATGTGCAAAGATAGAATCTTACAAAACTCAGTGCACTTAGAGAATAGAAACCACTGGAATGAGAGATGCAGGTGGGTGAGGTTAGACAGACTAGCCAGGGTTCGACCAGGAGTAATTGCGTCCCAAGCCACCGGATGTACCTTTTACACAGGAGGCAGTAGAGAAAGTGGGCGATACGTGAGTCAGGCTGTTTAGCTGGGGCGCTCTACCAGCAATCGAGGCAGTGGCCTGAGAGGCATCGGCCTGACTGGGAGATGGCAGAACGCAGTGATGCTGTATTAGAGGCTGGGCTCCCCAAGTGCAGCGTGGCATCAGCTGGGAGCACTTGCAGATCACGGTCCTCTGGCCCTCTTTAGCTCAGACTTTATGTTTTCAAAGCTGCCTGGAATTCTCCTAATACAACTGGTCCACTGCCTGGCATTGGGGAACTGTGAGATTACCTACATCGTAGGGCACGGAAGTAAAAGGGTTTCGATCACATTCATTTCAAGTCATGGAGCTGATGGAAGACCTCTCTGGAAGGGTGAGAAAATAGAATGAGAGAATCTTATTAAAGAAATACAGTGTTAATACTTTCAACTCCTTATAGTAACCAGCTATGACAACAAAGGATTGATTGGTAAAGATTGTTTCTTGTTTCTTAAAAAGTCTAATTTATAAGTTTTTGTAGTTAATAATTATAATGCTAAATCTATTTTTGCTTTATATGTTTGCTACCTTAGTAGATTAATATAACCTTTACAATCTTTCTTAAACTTAGCTTAGTTTTAGCAATCCTTTTATTTTCATAAAAATCAAAAATAAAGTTGAGTCTGGCCCATGATCAAAAGATCATAAATTCAAAATCAGTGCCATCTTCAGTAACTTGGCTTCACCACATAGTTTTCTGACATTTGAAAATTCTATATTAACAAAATTCTCTATAAAACATAATTTTTTGTAGGCAAGTAAATTGTGGCAAATTCTACCCACCAGGAAATTCAGACTATTTATCTGTATTTGTGCTTAAATATCACTTTTAGGCAGCCTGAGCTGTGTTTTAAGCTAATGTGTAGGTTAAATGTACCTGTGTTAAGAACTGCATCTCCCTGTTCCTGTCTTGGCTGGCAGCAAAGCCTCTTACTGTCTCCACGTTCCAATCTCCAAAACTTGAATGTGTTTTAATTCAATAAAACGAGTTCCATGAATATGAACACTGTGTTCATACTATATGCATCTTATCCCTAACTCTAAGCTTAGGGCCTGGGGAGAATAAGCATTTGTTATATATTTGTTTATTTAATCAATATTAATCATATTCTTATCATAACCCTGAGAAACGAAGCCAATTTTCCCCAGATTTTTCTGAACACATAGGCATCTACTTTAGCCAACTAAATGGAGGAAGAAGCACACATAAAAACAAAGATTTTTAAAGCCGCTGTCTACTAATCAAAACTCAGCTATTCAGTCTTGCCAAGGACATTGCCAAGACACTCCCACCCAGAAATATTGGGTCATCGGGAAAGTCATGGATATATTTTTCTGTGCAAAAATACATCAGAACTATCTCAGCAACCCAAAAGTTAACACATCAGTTTGACATTAATATTATGCAATTTAAAGGCGTTGGTTGAAAGTAAGGTCCAGTGGGTAGCACAGCAGTGCTCAACACTCTGTGGTACTGGACGCACACGGGCAGGTCCCAGGTGTGCGTCCTGAGGCCTCCCTGTGCATGCCAGGCTTGCACACACATGCATATGATCTAGACTGGCTGAGGCTGGGGGTAGATTGCAGCATGTCTCTCTCATAATTAAACAACTTAAAAAAAAGGAGAAGAAAAGTAACCAAGTCAGTCATTCAGAGTTCAAATCATTACATCCTTGTGGTGAGAAAGGAACCCCATCATATTCTAGTGCAAATTCTCTTTAGAGTCTATTTAACCTAATACCACACTGAACTCTCACCACCTAGAAAACTGGTATACCCTAATCTGACTAGCTTTTATTAAACCAATTGAAAGTATACCTGAGTTTTCAATATTAGTCTCATTTCTGGACCAGGTAGTTAAACACATTGCTCATGGAACAAATCCTGTGGTGGGCAAGGGGGAATAAAGGGATACTGAGTGACTGAGGGAAGGAGAGGAGGAGGGACTGTCACAAACAAGCCGACCTTTAACAAGGATTCTAGGAGTGCTCTTACGTGACATGATCCGAGAGCAAACATTTAACTTCAAGGGACCCGCAGATGGTGTAAGGGTTACATCGCTGGACTCCCACAGTCAACTGCGGTTTGAGTCCCAGACCCGGAGGCTTAAAACACGCTGGGCGCATGTGCACATATGCCCAAAATCCTGAGAGGAGAATGGAGAAGGGATTATGGTGTGGCCTCCCCCTGGGGGTGATTTTTCGCTTTCTGTCTCTCTCTGTGTCTCTGGCGAGTGCATGCACCCAGTAGCAAAAATCTCTCTAAACAAAATTTAACTTTGGTGACCCGCATTAGTGCTGACAATCCCTGAGATTAGGACACAGTGAATTTCAATATACACAGACAGCTTTTCTGATAAAAGAGATGAAACCTCATAAGTTTACCTTTTTTAAACTGTGAAATCAGGTACAAGATCTACACGAAATGTCGGAAAGTTCCTGTGTGATAGTGGGTGAGCCTGTGCCGGTTCCTCTGGGGTGAGAGCAGCTGCAGTGGGAGTCCTGTACTGCTGTGGACAGTGAGCTGTGACTGCGAGCTCTGCAGACGCTCAGAGCTGCTTCATGATGATACAGGTCGCTGTCGAGCACCTCCTGCACCCCCGCTTTACAGGTGCGGGGACTGCAGCTCAGGGGCACCAACGAAGCAGGCTCACACTGAAAGAGAAAGATTCACACTCGTGTCTAGTGCCAAAGATCAAGATCCCTCTGCTGGCCAAGCCTGCCTTTTTCAGGGTGGCCCACAATCTAAGGAGCCCTGATCAGAAGATTTGGCAGGGAAGTACTGATTTTCTGCAAATAATGCTGAGAAAGGGACATGCACAACTGACTTGCTGTGGTGGCTGGGTTAGCGGTGAATATTCACTTTCTTTCCTTAACCACTCTGTGGAAGATGCTGTTGTGCTGATTATGTAAGACCATTGCTTGAGAGACTCAACCACGAGGTTTCTACTCGGGGGGTGAGGGTCCTTGGCTTCACACAGGAAAGAATGTACGAGTAAGCTTTTAAGAGAGAGTAGAACAAGTTTACTAAGGTAAGTGTACAGCATGGACTATTCCATAGGTTGTGCCACCCTGTGAGAAGAGGTGAAGCGACAGTTTCCTTCCTCCCTCTGAGATAAAAGGAGAACTGTTACCTGAAAGGGATGTACGAGGGCTACCCCACAAGAGGGCAGTCCCGAACTGCGGTGGGTGTCTGGCTTCTGTGGCTTGGTTTAATGCCAGGTTGAGCAAGAGGTAGTTTACTCAGGACTCTTCCCGGAAAGTGGTTTTCCTGCAATAACTGTCCCGTCCACTTTCTGGCCTCCCTCCCGTTTTCTGGTGACTACTTTGGTTATTTAACTGTCATGGTGCAGGTGGGAGTGTCGTCTAGCACGCTGATACCATACACTGAGGCTACAGCGAGTCTGAAGATTAGACAGCTGTTGCTCCAGGTGCCATCTTGGTTCCTGCTGGTTCAGACCGTCCCTCAGCCACTTCCTGTCAGGTTTATGCGTTTGGGATGTCCCACACCTCAGTACCGCCCTATCTCATGCTACAGTCATGAGAGGGGATCCTGTCGTGCAGGGGTCAGTGGAGGAAGAAGAGCAGGAAACCAAGGGCTTTTTAGAATAGGATCATCATTAATGATGTTATTTGGTCCTGCAGGAAAATGTGGAAGACGGCCGGGCCAGCATCTATCAGTCTGTCATCACCAACACCAGCAAGGAGATGTCCTGCTTCAGTGACTTCCCCATGCCTGAGGATTTTCCAAACTTCCTACACAATTCCAAACTTCTGGAATACTTCAGGATTTTTTCCACCAAGTTTGATCTTCGAAAATATATTCAGTTCCAGGTACCATGCACTGGGGGGAGAGGTCTGACTACATTCGTTCAGTTCATATTTAAATAGAAGAGTTACTCTGATGATGTAAGACATTGGGAATTAAGTTTGATACTCCAATTCCTTGTTGAAAGATACAACCATGATATAAAATCCACAGTGATGTCATTACCCTGATTTATAGCTTGTACACATTAACCGAAGAGGAAGATCGGCAGCATAAAGAGGGCCAGATCATTTTTTTTAGCGAATTATTTTATTTAACTTTATTTATTTATTTTAATTTGACCAGAGAAGGAGAGCAAGGGAGAGGGAGAGAGAGAAAGTGAGAAAACAAGTCTCCAGGTCCTGAACTCGAACCGTAGTTGGCCATGTGGGACTCCAGCGCCATTAACCACCAAGCCACCTGCTGGCCCCAGGCCAGATCATTTTTCAAACTTCTCGAAATTACCTTTTCCTGTGCTTCCTCAGGAACAAATGATCAACCACAAAACCTCTAAACGTTCTCATTGCCTATATCGAGTTTGTATCTGTATCCTACACTGAGAGCAAGTAATCATACTTAGAAAATAAAATTTAAATTACATTTCTGGATAAATATCTGTTCATGAGGCTTTAAAAAAATCTCATTTTCTCAATAATTCTAGTGTTTTGCGTACAGGCTTGTATTATATTCATTTATAATAGTTGATTTTAGTGGACATCTGTATGTGTAAATACTATTAAAATGTTGAGTTTCACCAAATGTAGTTCCTTCCCCACCCCATTTTCTTACAGATCCACTCTAGACTGGACTAACAGATTCTCTCCGCCAGAGGCTTTGGAGGTCTTCATTTGCTTAGCTACCAACTTGTTTCAAATGTTTTGCCTTTTTTTTTTTTTTTTTTGAGAGAGGGGGGGGGGGGAGGGGGGGGTTTTTTTTTTGAGAGAGAGAGGGAGGGAAGGAGGGAGGGAGAGAAAGAGAGAGAGAGAGAGAGAGAGATTTTGTGTGCTCACCAGAGACAGAGAGACAGAAAGTGAGAAATCACCCCCTGCCCCATCACCAGGGGGCTGGCCATGATACAATCTGTCCTCTTCCATTCTCCTCTTAGGATTTTGGGCTTGCATGCACATTCACCCAGCATGAGTTTCAAGCCACTGAGTCTGGGTCTAAAGTCACGGTCCGCCATGTGGGAGTCTAGCCACATAACCATTATGCCATCTGCTGGTTCTGGTATTGTCCTCTTACCATACCTAATTTATATTATTTGTTTCAAGTTCTCTCTCTCAGTTATTGTGCTATTGCTGCTGCTGTTTTCTGGAGGGACTGGGAAGACTCACTTCTATTTACTGGCCTGTGGGTTGGTCTAAGTCACAGACAGACGTTAGGCTCAGGGCAAGAGCAGGCCGACGGAGAAGGGCCCTGTGGCTCATGCTCATCAGTGTCACCAACATTGGTGCTTTTCACTCTTTCATCCATTGGATGTGGATTCTGATTCAACAGGTGTAGAGTGAGGTCTGAGCGGCTGCCTTTCCCATAAGCTCCTGGGGCTGAAGGTGCTGGTCCTCAAACCACATTTTGAACAGAAGGGTCTCTAGTAGTTTAGTTACACACTGCTCTGAACTTCAGATCTGAAACCTGCCACTAGCTGGAAATTGCCAGATACTATAAATCCCTTTCACAAGCTTTCTACTAATGTTGGATGTATTTTTTAAATAAAGACAGTTTCAAAAATTACCAAATTGGAATGTTTTTGCATTTTTAAAATTTATTGTTATTATTATTATTTATACATTCATTTGCTATATATCATTTAGATTGTAAAGAGACTTTACCCAGCATGACATATACCTCAGTCCAGCGCAGCTGAGAATACAATCCACAACCTCCTCAATAAATAATAAACCATGTCTGTGTCCCACAAATGTCTTACCTCTATTTTTCCCCAAATTTCCTCTCCTACGCTCTTCA